AGATTTTCCTACCAATTTAAAGAACATCCTTGCAGTTAACAGGACATTCAAGAAATTTATTGAATTTTAGAGATGCTTGTAGAAGTCCCGAAATATTCACAGAGCTTACGAGCTGTTCACAGATCTTCCGAGCAGTGAACAGAACTTTCGAGGTGTTTCTAGAGTTTACGAGCGGTTCACAGATCTTCCGAGCAGTTAAGAGAACTTATGAGGTGTTCATAGAACTTCACAGATTCTCATAGAACTTAAGAGATGTTCATAGGACTTCCGAGGTGATCAGAGAATTTCGGAGTAGTTCTTAGAATTTCTGAGAAGTTTATAAATCATTCAAAACATTCACAGAACTTCTAAGATGTTTATGGAACTTTCGAGATGAGCATGGAACTTCCGAGATTTTCATTGAGCTTTCGAGCAGTTCATAGAGCTTCTTAACAGTTCATAGAAGTTCTGAGGATGGATGTTCCGAATGTCCCTAGAATTTCCAACCAGTTCATAGTACTTCCGGGCAGTTCATAGGACTTTGGAAAAATTCATTGAATTTTCGAGATGCTTGTATAACTCTCGAAATATTCATAGACCTTACGAGCAGTTCACAGATCTTCCAAGCAGTTAACAGAACTTCCGAGAATTTCAGAGGTGTTCATAGAACTTCATAGATTTTCAAAGAACTTCAGAGATGTTCACAGAACTTCCGAGATGATCATAGAATTTCTCAGCAGCTCATAGAACTTTCGAGAAGTTTATAGAACTTCCAAAACTTTCGTTGAACTTCCGGGATTAATAGAAGTTTTGAGATGTTCATAGAACTTCCGAAATGTCTCTAGAACTTCCAACCAGTCCATAGTTCTTCATTGTAATTCGGACTAGGGGTAGGTCACTCCGCACACCAATCTTGGGTCATCTTTTTTGTCAATGTGCTGCAAGTATGCCGATTGTGCCGGTCATAGAGCAAGCTGCGATTGTTAGTAAAATACCCATCCCGGCAACCCGGAATTTCAGACATCTTGAATGTTTTGGTTTGAAATTGCAAGGATAAATCGGATTGAGGATGACGCGGGAAGTGGCGGGTGTGCAAAATTTCGGTGATTTGCGATCCATAGAGTAATAAAAGTCCTGTGTTTTAGAGTTTTATAATGCCCTCAAAGGTTGACCAGAAGCCTAGATTTTCAGCCGGAAAGAGTTGGAACCGATGGGGAGCATTGTTGGAGACCGACTATAGAGGGTGACGAATAAACTTATTTAGTTTGTTTAGTTACAATTAAGGGTACTAATGGGGTCTGATTACTTGCCTCTTTCTGTTAAGCCCACTCTAGAACCTACATTTCGTATTTAGATCTATAAGAGAACTGCTGGTCTAAGTTCCTTTGATGTATTCAATTAGAAGATGTTCCTGAACATACAGTCAAACAGCACGTAATGTTCTGAACAACTTGAATGACAGTTGTTCAGCAGTCCTCCCATTTTATTAACAACAATCTAATGCCTACAAGATTGTGCCGAATGTATGCCGAAAATGTGCCCAAGCTGTGTAGAATATAATTTCGGCACAATGTGCTGAGTGACTTACCCCTTGAGATCGCAGAACTTTCGAGAAATTCATTGAATTTTGGAGATGCTTGTAGAACTCCCAAAATATTCGTAGAGCTTACGAGCTGTTCACAGATCTTTCGAGCAGTTAACAGAACTTCTTAGGTGTTCATATAAATTATTAGGTGTTCATAGAACTTCACAGATTTTCATAGAAATTCATAGGTGTTCATAGAACTTTCGGACTGATCATAGAATTTACGAGCAGTTCATAGAACTTTCGAGAAGTTTATAGAACTTCCAAAACTTTCGTAGAACTTCCGAGATGTTCATGGAACTCCCGAGATCTTAATGGAACTTCCGAGATGAATATGGAACTTCCAAAATCATCATTTTACTTCAGAGATGTTCAAAGAACTTCCAAGAATTTCATAGAACTTCCGAGCAGTTCAAAGAGCTTCTGAACAGTTCATAGAACTTCAGAGGTAATCATGGAACTTTCGAGATGTTCATAGCACTTCCAAGATGTTCTAGAATTTCCGGGCAGTTCATAGAGCTTCTGATAACGGCACCGGTGGTGTAGTGGTAAGCGTGATTACCTCTCACCCCAGCAGGCCTGGGTTCAATCCCAGTCGGCGCCGCCTGGATGTTCTGAGGCATAACATCTCTGATCACGCCTTCCTTCGGATGGGAAGTAAAGCCGTTGGTCCCCGGTTCATGAGTTGATGGGTCGATAGGTAGGGTCCAGGTGTGGGAGCTGCCTTCCTGGCACGTCGGTAGCATTGGTGCTCAGCACGGAAAACAAGATCGACGGAAAAAACAAACCAAAGGAAAAAAAAATAGACCTTCTGAGATGTTGATAGAACTTTCAAGATGTTCGTTAAACTTCCTAGTAGTTCATTAAACTTCCACTAATATATTCGTTTTTATAAAAGACACATCTATCATTGAACTTCCGAGCGATTTAAAGAACTTTCGAGCCGTTAACAGAACTTTTGCGTTGTTCATAGAACTTCTGAAATGTTCCTAGAACTTCCGACCAGTTCATAGTACTTCCGGGCAGTTCGCAGGACTTTTGAGAATATCATTTAATTTTCGAGTTGCTTGTAGGACCCCAAAATATGCACAGATCTTCCGAGCAGTTAACAGGTGTTCGAGGTGTTCATAGAACTTCCGAGATGTTCATAGAACTTCACAGATTTTAATAAAACTTCAGAAATGGTCATAGAACTTCCGAAATGTGCATACAATTTCCGAGCAGTTCATAGAACTTCCGAGTAGTTTATAGAACTTCCAAAACTTTCGTAGAACTTCCAAGCAGTACATAGAGCTTCTGAACAGTTCATAGAAGTTCTTCGGTAATCATGGAACTTCCGAGATGTTCATACAACTTCCGTCAACTTCACCAAACCCCAACGCGATTCGAAATATCATTTTTTTTTTTACGTTTCCGTTTAATATGTTTCTTCCGACACGCAACAATCGCTTATAAAAAGTCTGTCGTAAAAAACTCCGTGTGTGTTCGGTGACTAACTCGATGGAACTACAGGCTACTTCGATTATTTTTCCCATACAGATTTCCAAAATTTTTCCTCGCTAACTCGATAGTCCCTTCGATATCGAGTTAGGGAAGATTGACTGTACACACTTAATTTTGCTTGCCGAGATTTACACAACCGAGCTCCTAGCAAACGTACTTTGCCGAGATATCAGCCAAAGTGACGTTTGGTTGCTGAGTCTCGGAAAATGTTTTGCTGAGATCTCTGTCAAATTTAATTCTGTGCAAATCTCGTCAAAAACAAAACTAAATGTGTACAAGCTAAACATTACATATGAATGCCGAATAGCACTATTTGCTGATGCATTCCACAGTTCTACAAATTACTGAGTAAATATTCAGAGACTGCATGCTTAAGTCAACAATAACAATTGATTTTTGATTTACAATCTGCTTGCTCTGAATTTTCATTGTAATTGCATTCAAAACAAAATCCTGCTGAAGAGCCTCAAATCTGTTCGATTTATTTGTCAGACCTCGAGGCTCGATAAGTGTTATGTCAACATTGGATTCATAAAAAAAGATTAATAAAATCATCACATTTTCGCGCATGGTGCGAGTTTCACCATTCAGTAAGGTCTTGTGTTTCGAGGACTCGATATAACTCCCACTCTTATCGTCACCTGTCAGGTAAAACTACGAGCCGGCTGTTGAAAGATGGCGACATATGCTGTTGTCACGGGCGACACGGAACGCGAAATACGGTCTGCGTGAGTTGAATTCGAATGAACTCAAAGCTTGCTTCGTTTTTAGCCAATACCCCATTCTTGAACATTTTCCTTCCGAAGAAATAAAGAAAATCAAATTAAAATCCTTCGTTGCCAAATTGATTTCTTTTATTTACGAGCAATAGGACCATAAATCGCCGTTTAAAAAAAGAAAGAATAGGTAGAAAAAATCCCCCGTCCAATCAATCAGATTTTCCGGTCAATTACTTCCGTCTGTCGATGCTTCCTTACATCCCATTTCCCGTTTCGTTTGGGAAAAGTTCTACAGTTTCCAATTAGTAGCACAAGAGAAACTCACTTGAACAGATCCATTTTAATACTCGAACAATCGTCGATACAAGAAAAGAGCAATGATTAATGTGTCATCACAATCCGAGATCGAGTCTCGGCTAGAACGGCTGTCACTCACCGGCCACTGAACTGAAACTGATTACCATCGCCGACGGTGACGGCGACTCATCCGAAAAGCGATGTCATCCCATTTGCGACGAGCATGACGACGATGCATCGATGGATGGCTAACTAGATCAGCACACGGCAAAAGTTTTTTTTTCTTTTTCTTTTTCGCTGCTTACTTCAAGTGGCAAAAGTGTCACTTCCCATCAAACTTCGGGCTCGTGCACGTTCCGCTTCCAGGAATCGATTCGATTTCCCCCGATACGAGTTGAAGAAAGGAATCCAGCGAACGGGGAAAGGATGGTATCCTCTTTTCTGGGAAGCATAGATGTCATTAAAATTAAATTTTTGATGCTCTCGTTTGGCAGGAAGTGGCTTGCCTGCCGGGGGAAGGAAGAAAATTGAAGAAGGATGTCAGTTCCTTTCACAGAATTTATGCGAATCAAAATGACTTGGCTAAATGACAAAATGATTGATGATTTTATGATTGACTCCACGTGTATCAACCGACTGCTGATGGGATGGCATTATTTAGCTTCGAGTATCTCTTTCAAATGGTTGGTTGCTTTGATTCGCATTGGGGTGGAAAACAAACAACCGAACCGTTTTCCCGTCAGGGGTTTCGATCCCGGGCTAAGGTTGCTTCGATTTTTGAAGTTCATCGAAGATGATTATTTATTTAAACAGTAATCGCAGGTCGGCCAGTCAAGCGATTCATTTCGATGAACTCGATTCTACCAGCCTTGGAGTCGATCAATAACCTTCTGTTTCGTTCTGTTTTCTTCTTCCAGGTGGACAATCAGTGGTGAACGTGCAGCTCGTGGTGAAAAAATACGCCGAACGGGGCAGCGATGTGACATTGTACTGCGAGAACGATGCCGCCCCAGATATCGTCTACAAGGTAAGTCAGTCCGGGCAAATTTCCCACGGTGTTCGTTCATTTTTCGCCGGAACTGAGCAGAAAGAGTAATAAAATCAAACTTTCTCTTTGCTTTGTTTTTTTCTCCTTTACGTCTTTTTTTTTGTCTGGTAACGCCCTCACGTTTCCATTCAATGATTTCTGAACCTCGGCGGAACGGAACATTTTCGGTTCAATGAATTCCACCATCATCACCACCGTCTCCATTTGCTGACTTCTGACCGTGAAGGTAACGTTCCTGAAAGGTGAAAATAAAATATTCGAGTACATCAAGGGCCGGAATCCACCGTACCGGAACTATTCGATTGCGGGCGCCGAGATAGATGTGAGTATGATTTCCGGCTTCCTCCATTTATGGGTGCTTGTTTATTTTGACTGTCTTCCACAATGGTGGGTGGGTGTGGCTTTCTGGTTGCTGTGATTTCCCTTTTTGGCTTGTGCATTTGAATGAGCCAATGGACGTGGTTGGTCAGGTGCACGTCGTTACCGACGGGTTTTGGTTTTTTTTTGCGGTTTGTCTTTCACTTGTTCGTGACCTTGACCAGTGTTGCCAGATCAGTTTTAAGAAAATCTGATCCAGAAATAACCAAACAAACATTAATTCACCGTCGATTGCTGCACGGTCGACCTCAGTTGATGATATTGTGTGTTCGAGAGAGGTTTTGGCCGGTGAGCGTCATAAACCTTGCCAGGAAGGTAATGCACGAGTGCGTTAAGTGTTTCAGGGTGAAACCACGCGTTCATGATCAGTTAATGGGGGATTTTCCGTTGGAACGAGTATCGCCAGGTCCTGCTTTCCAACGAGTGGGTATTGAAGTAAAGTAGAGAGTTGTATAGATTTTTCTCCTTTAGCTTACTTAAATCTTTGGTTTTTATTAGTTAGGTAGGTTCCGATTCAACACATTGTAGTTTCATTTTTATACCTATGATCTTGACTTTTTTACCTAGGGGATGAGCACTTAAGGGGGTTAGATTTTGATAAGTTCTTTAGTGGGAATGACACTGATGAAGGCTGCACATTGTAGTCGAAATACGTATCTGTCATGGATACCAAAATTAATTAAGTGGAATTAAATGGAAGATAACCTTTTTTGCTGTTTTATGAGTGGGTATTGATTATTGTGGACCATTCGAAGCACAAGCCCGAAGAGAGAGAAAGCTTAGTCAACAACTGTTACAGTTCCAAGAAAGAGTGTCAAAGGAGGCTGCTCAAGGTTCGATTGAATTCAAATTTATATCTGCCAGGTCACCCAACTTTGATGTCTTGTGGAAAGGCGCGGTCAAATCACTGAAGGGGCACATGAGGAGAATGATCGGCAACCGAATGCTGAAGTATGATGAACTGCATACCGTTGTGACGCAGATTGAAGCATGTCTAAACTCGAGACCGCTGACACCTCTGAGTAATGACCCCGGTGACTTGGGAGCATTGATTCCAAGTCTTCACGATCCGCCAGAGAATAGACTCAGTAGAAAGGCAACGTGTTCAGAACAGCAGTCTGGTGATTTGGAAGCGCTGGTGAGCGGGAAATCTGCTTACAAATGTGCCTTAAAATACGTCAGATTATTGAGGCCACCTTATGTGCATATGCGCTCAAATTTCCGTTAGCTTCAGGACAGTCCCAACATTTTTGGGAAAATTCACTTCAGTGAGGACCACCGAGCTTCAGGGCAGTGCAGGGCTGGTAGCGAGTCACTTTTTCTCCTTTTTCAAGGCCAAGTCACTAAAGTCACTTTTTCTTGTAATCAGTCACTATTTTCAACTTGTGTGAATTTATTTCAAGATCGATCATTCTTTGAATTGTGACGTATAATCGTCTTTCTCTATCTACAGGGTGTCTACTCATTTTTCTAAATAAAATTACATGAATTTTCCAAGTAAGTAAGTCCAAGATCTAAATATATTCAATTTCTTGAAGTTTCGTATTCCATGTACAAGTTCAACCAGTTCCCATAACTTTTGTTCATATTTGTGGAGCAGTTTGAAGATCTATAAACCAGGATAGTTCCATGATGTGCGGAAAAAAAATTGAGAACCCTTAAGATGCTCCGAGGATTTCAGGGAAGTATAGAGACCTTCAGAGAGTTTATGAAATATTTCAGTGAGTCCAGAAAATTTCAGTTAAATTTAAAAGTGTTTATGGGAATTCCATTTATCTCCGAGCAGAACCAAGATCTTCAATAGAATTGAGAGCCTTAGGGAAGCTTCGAAAACATTAAGACAGATTAGAGAATCAAAGGGCATTTCAAATAATTTCAAGGAAATTGTAGAAACCTTAAAGAAGTGCCGAGAAACTCAGAAATTTTTTTGGAAACCCCAGCAAAGCTGCGAGAAAATTTCTGGAACGTGATAAAAATTATATGAACATCCGGAAAACGTGAGAGCATTTAAGGGTGTTACATCATGGCGATTTCACGAACTTAAAAAAATGCGAAAGTTAACTAAGTTGATCTTCAAGAAATTCCAGGGAACTTCTAATAAATTTTGATATATTTAGATTTGATTTCATGATGTTCAGCGAAGTTCTGAGTAATTCGAGGACGATCAGATATCTTCAGAATAATCCCATTGCCTTAAGCAAGTTTGCAGCGACTTTCAAGGAGTTCCGTTGAATTATGGAGTATTCCAAAATTTCTATGATTGCTCCGAAAACGTCAAAAGCGTCAGGGAATTATGAATATAATTAGGGAATATCAGGGAAAATTAGTGAGCATTTGTAATGGTTATAGGAAAATTGTCGAAGCTTCAAGGCTAGTTTCTCAAAATACAAAAGAATTTCAAGGCAGTTTTATTAACTTCAGGAAAAATTTGGGAACTTTCAAGAAGTTCTGAAGACCTCACAAAATTGTGATGAAGCTATCCTCCAAATTCCACAATAAGAAACCCTTGGAAAATTTCTCCGAAAATTCATTGAATCATTTCAGATTTCCGTTTGAATCTCACTTCTTCACATGAAATTCTACTCACATCGAAAGTATTCTAGGAATTCATTGGCATTTCTCCACATAAATTCCTTAGATTTATTCTCATAATTTGTTTGTCAAACTCTTCTGAATTTATTTAATATTTAAGATGTCCTGAAGTTAATCTCAGATTTGATTGGAGGGTTACAGTATTAGTATTTTAAAAAATCCAAGGACTTACGAATACGGAGCAATTCGTTTTCTCCCACAAACTTTATGAAATTATCCTCAGAATGCCCTTGGAATTTACCTCTGAAGTTCACAGGAGTAGTGCTTCAAAGAAATTTTTAAGAGTTATCATTAAACTTTACTTTTAATTCCATTCAGGGTTGAAATTCTACTCAAATCTATCAGGCTTCACATGAAATTAATTTCTGAAAGATTTTTTCCCTCAGAACTCCCTTGGAATGAAGTCATTAGAAATTATAATAAAATTTCACGAGCCTTTAAACCTAGTGCATGGAATTTGACTGCAGATTTGAATGAAAATTTCTTAAAGTATTATAGCTTTTAAGCCCAGAACTAGCTCAAATTTACATAAGTGTTCATAAGATACTAATTGAATAAGTCTTAAACATCAAACATTTATTTGATGTGCCTTCGGTCAGATTACTTTTTAATCACTATTTTTCACATCTATAAGTCACTATAGGGTCACTAATTTCTTCAAAATGGTCAGTAAAATCTCTATTTTTGACAGCAGTGATGTCCACCAGTCCAGCAGTGCCTTTCACTTCAGGAAAACTGCAAAACCATTCCTGAAAAACGTTGGGGCAGTTCTAACAACTTCAGGGCAGTTCCACGAGTATCAGGAAAGTAGCGAAAACTTCAGAGATGTTCCAATAATTTTAGGATAGTCCAAAGAACTCCTTGGGACCTCCCTTAGCTAACGTCGGTAAAGGCACAGCTACAGCGCAAGACCATGCTGGAGGTGGCTGGGTTCAATTCCCGGCCAGGTCCAGGAATTTTTCGGGTTGGAAAATTTCTCGAATTCCCTGGGCATAGAAGTATGATTGGACTTGCCACACAATTATACTAATGCAAAAATGGTACAGGCATCGAAAGCTCTTAATTAATAACTGTGGAAGTGCATCTAGAACACTAAGTTGAGAGCACGCTATAAGCTAATATGCCATACGCAATAAGCTTGAAATGCGAGGAAGAAGAAAGAAAGAACTCCAGAGAAGTTAAGTAACCTTTAGAAAGATTTCGAAAAATTCACGGAGGTCCGGAGAATTTCAGGGAACTTTAGAGATTTTTAGGGTAGTTCCATTAGTTTCAGGCAAGGGTGCAAATACTTATTCCAGCTAAAACAATGTTTTTTTAAATTATGAAATAATTAAATACTATGACCATAGTTTGAATTGGTAAGATACAAGAAGAGGTTGCAAAGAATGTGTTTGATATATTAAACCTGTTTATTTCACTTCATGAGAGTCATAATCAGCGATTTTTCACACACTCACTCACTCACTCACTCACTCACTCACTCACTCACTCACTCACTCACTCACTCACTCACTCACTCACTCATTCACTCACTCACTCACTCACTCAGCGATCAGCAAATCGCTGATTGTGACTCATAGAAAGCAAAATTTACAGGTTTTATGTTTCAAACGCATACTTTGTAACATCTTCTTGTAAGTTACAAGTAAAACATGTCATCAAACCATCTTTTGGTTTTATTATTCCGAAAAACATTATTTTAGCTGAAATGAGTATTTGCAACCTTGGTTTCAGGGAAATTTGAGGATCATGATCAGGAGAATAGCGAGAACTTCAGAGATGTTCCGAGAATTCAGGCAAACTTCTATAAGTTTCATTAAATTAAGGATAGTCCAAAGAACTCCAAGGAAGTTTCAGTACACTTTTTAAAAATTGGGGGAGCTTCGGAAGTTTAGAGAACTTAAGATAACATTAGAGATTTTTAGGGTCATTCCTATAATTTTCGGCAAATTCGAGGATCATAATTAGGGGAATAGCGTGAACTTCAGGGAAGTTCCATGAACATTAGGAAAAATTAGAAATCTTAAGGGTTGTACTATTAACTTTACATAAATTGTAGAAATTTTAAAGAAGTTCTGATGAATGAAAGAAAGTACCGATAAATTGAGAGAAGTTTCATAAACAAACTGTAGGAACATAAGGGAAGTTCCGAAAACTTTTGGATCATTTTTTTCAAGGCTGTTCTATTAGCTTCTAGCAAAACTGCAGGAACTTTGAAGAATTTTTTAAGAACAAGAGAATTTTTAAGAAATTCAAGAGAACTTCAAAGTAGAAAGAACTTGCGGAACATTGAAGTAGTTCAGAGATAATTAGGTTTAGCGATCCGGAAGTTCCGGAAATTTCAGGAGTTTC